CTTGGCTCTTTGGTGTCGCGCCAGGACTTCTGGGAAGTAATCCAGCACCTTGGAAAGACAAGATTTGGAAGTCATATTGGATTCACCATAATTTGAGGTTAATTGAATTGAAACCTCCCCCACCACCACCACCACCACCACCACCACCATCATCCCATCCCGCCTCACCCAAAGAGAAGCAGGAAGAAAAACAATCAGTAAGGGATGAGTAAGTGAATGTATGGGGGAGGATGTGGCATGTCCTGGCTGCAGCTGGTTCCTGAACCACAGGAGCGTCTCACTGTGTCTTCTTCTTTCTTTAGTTTTTAGCGTTTGTGATTGGATTCTAATTAATGCCTCGGAGGAAGACGCAGCGGATTCCTGCAGCACAAACAGACGGAGGGCGGCGAGTGCGCGGCTGTTTGGTAAATGGGGTCCGCGAGAGTGACCCGGGCATCGACGCCGTCTGAGCCCTCATCATGTCGCGGACTTCACATTCTAATAATGACTAATGTGTTCTCCGACATCGGCCCGCTCTCATTAGTGTGATTTATAGTCTCGCCTATTTTCAGTAAACCAGAGGAGCTGTATTCCAATTTATTCGGGTCAAATTAACCATTCATAATTAGACGCGGTAACCTTTCCCCGCCGCCTTCTCCTCCCACTGAATGTGCCGTACATGCAATGCCAATGTTCATTGTTTAATCTCACTGGCGGCCATTAGGGAGGTTATGTAAGAATCACCCTGTGCAGGGCAGAAGTTTAGCCGGAATCAATCTCCTAATGGTTAATAGCTAATGGGCTGATTTATTACCCAGTTGTGAAGGTGAAGGCTTGCCCTTTCCTCTGGGGGTGGCCCCCGGACTCTGCGGAGCCCCCTCTGCTTCTGCTGCAGGGTCAGAACCCTGATACTGTGTGGGGTCATTATAATGCAGAATAATTAGACATTCATCATCTATAAACAAATTACTTCTTACTTTGTTTATTGGATTTATAAATGGTTTAGTAATTCAGTTGTTAACTCTTTATAAATCATAAATAAACAGTTATAAACAAGTTATAGCACAGTTTAATACACTCAAGCAGGCTCACTATTTGGCAAGCTCAAGTTAAAGCTTACTACTCATTAGTTTTACTAACGACTTACTACCATTTACAGCAGGAACAAGGAGCCTTATTGTAAAGTGTAAAACTCATCATCATTTATTAATGAGTAACTTTAAGATTCCCTTTTACCAGCTATAAATACTAGTAACTCATTAATAAAAGGTGAGTGAGTCATTATGTCATAATGAGTAGTAAGCATTAACTTGCTCTTGCCAAATAGTGAGCCCGCATCAATGTATAGAAACTGTTGTTTATAACTGTTTATTTATGATTTATAAAGTGTTAATAACTGAATCAACAACCTAATTATGAAGCATTTATAAATCCTTTATAAGGGAAGTCTTATTGTGAAGTGGTGTGTGCTCTCTGAGACGCTTTTTATACTCAAGTCCCGCAGTTTTAGGACAAAACAGTACAACAATTATCCTAAACAAACAAACAAACAAACAAACAAGTGCTTTTCGTGATGAAATATTTGCCCAAGTCAGACGTCCATCAGCCAATCACGATGTCTCCCTGCTGAGGACCGGGCTGAAGGAGGTGGAGCTTCAGGCCTGACGGAGCATCAGATACCGCGTTGTGTACGTGCTGTACATGATGAAAGGATGTAAATGTGTCCACAGAGACTATCACTGTTTATAACGTGGTAGCTAACGACTTTAGAACAGGATTGTTTTATTATTAAAGTGACGTGTCAAAAACAGACATCGGCATGAAATGATATATATACTGATGTCCTCTCCACACTCCACAGTCGCTGCGGCGTCCTCCTGATGTGGAGGTAAACACCCTTAAATTACAGACTGAACGTCAGCACTTTATCCTCGCTGTCATTGTTTGGTCTCGGATGTTTTACTGTAATACTGTAATGGAATTAACAATCACAAACAACTTTTATTATCACTTTGGCAAAGAGTCCATCACTTGGCTTTAAAGTAAACCTTTTGGCAGTGACTTTAACACATGTAACGGGGGCTAATTTGAGCCAGACCACTTCAGGCAGGCTGCAGCCCAAACAGGGCCTTGAGGATTAACCAGCAGAGGCCTGTGTGACAGCGTGATGGACAGCGCTCCTCACTCTGCTCTTGATTACTGCTCCGCTTTAATCATGTCTGGTCAGAGCTGGTCTTGTCTAAACACGCTGGTTTTGAACTGGCACGTCGGAGGAGGGGGGGGGGGCGTGATGATGGTGGGTGTCTGATGCTGTTTGACTTGAGGGGATGGGCTGTCATTTACCCAGGCTCATTAAAGAATAAATAAATGACAGGAGAGAGAAAGGAAGGAAGGAAGGAAAGGAAGGATGGACGGAGAGAGAGGACAGACAGAGAGAGGTCGGAGGACCTGCTGTCTGCAGGTTTGTTGGTTTTGGCTGGTCCTGCTGGCTTCAGTATCTCAGCTGTCTGTTGGGATCAGGAGTGGCTCCCCGAGAGGCGACTGCTGCCAAACACAATCAAAACAGAAAGACAAGCTGAATGAAAGAGGAGAGATGAAGAGAGGGAGCAAAGGAGGGACAAAACAAAAACAAAACAAAAATAAAAGGGGGGCAGTAAGAATGAATCAGGAAGAGAACAACAGAGTGCAGAGATAATAAAAACCAAAAAACCGCTCTGTCATTTCAGCAGCAGCAGTTTATCCTGTGAAGGTTTAAAAGGACTGCTGCCTTCCCTCCATCCTTTACTGTGATATTCAGAATCCAATTAGTGGATGTGTTGGAGGGGGGTTCCTCAGTGACAGTGGCCCATTTGTAAGAACTATTATCAATGAGGAACACCGACAGAGGTAATATTTTATTAATGTCTGGCTTGACTGCCTGTGTTCTGCAAATAATGGCCTCTTTTTTATTTTCCAATCCTTCAGAACTTTTTCTCGTGTTGAAGTGCAGAGGCAGGTACAGAGAGGCCGAGGGAGCAAGATATAGTTTTTAGGAAAGACTGTCAGAGTTTAAGTGATGTGAGGCTTCTCATAAAGTTGTAATATAAATCAGATTTACGGGATATTATGGTTTGCATTGCGTCACCGAGTAGGGCCGCTATTATGGAAAATGTACGCGTGCGATCGTGCACTTTGGTGGAAGAGGAGTAATTTACCAGCATGAGTCAGCGGAAAGAAGAACTTGGTCACAGAGAGGTGACATCATCTCCAGACTGTCACATCTACATTTAAAAGAACAGCTTTGGTAGAAATCAAACAGTTTGTGCTGCCGGAGAAAAACACTGCTGCTGAGTCATGTCTGTCTCGACTGATGGAGACGAGCTTCTAATCACATTTCGGGGGCGTCTTTATTTCTCACATGCATCTGCTGTTGTATCGTCAAGGTGGAGAACACTGTATCCGGGGCCGTTTTTGTCCAGCTGGTTTCTGCCATATGGTATTTCATCAACTCCCTCCCATCAAGACGGTTTCACATGCAAATGAATTTCAGCAAGATGTTTGGAGGATTGAAAAAGAGACTGAGAAACAGAGGGAGGTGAAGGACGGTGTTAGACTGATGCCTTTACACATAGCTTATAGATGTAGGTAGGTAGGTAGGTGGATGGGTAGGTAGGTAGGGAGGTAAGTAAGGGAGGTAAGTAAGGGAGGTAGGTGATAGATAGAAGTTTTGCTGACCTTTATTTTTCAAACCATAATGTTTTAAATCGGCTCTATGAAGCCTGACCTCACAGTGATTATTCAAACCTAAGGGAGTTTACAGCGCTTGTATGATTTCAGTTGTTACGGACGTGGCGGCGGCCGGAGCAGAAGTGGCGATGTGTTTCATGGCGTTCTCTCTCTGTGACGGCTGACAGTGTCTCAGCTTTGGAGACACAGTTGACAGACAGCAAATGAAACATGACCTTGAGTCCAGCTCCAATTCTTTCTTATTTCTTTCTTCTTTTTTTTTTATTGAGCTGTCAGAACTGAGTTGACGTTTGAGCAGAAAGATTTACAGGCACCATTTAGAGCGGGATTGATTTCTGTCTACGGCGGCTTCGGGGAAAGATCGGTGAAAAATGTCTATGTAAAGCCCCTTTCTTTGATTGATTGATCCTTTCTTTCAATTCTAGGTTTGCCCTTTCCTCCAGTATCTCCGTATTGTTTCACCTTCCAGTACATTCCAGTATATTTGCTGTTCTAGCACATGAAACTGTTCAATCTGCTGACGTCCTCCTCTCTCCGGAGATTTATTGTGTCACTGCAGCTTGAGAAAGACTTCAGCTTCTGAGCTGCCGACTGAAGTGTTTGTTTAAAACTTTGTGCATTGTGTAATTTTATTTTATTGACGGTAAACTGAACAGATTATTGGATGAGGCGGTATCTTTAATTCCCTTATAGGGCATTAGGAATTTTGTCTGGTGGAATTCGGGACATAATTACAATTTTAGCGGAACGGCTGTTTTTGCCAAAAGGCTTTATGACCGCACATCAGCGGGGGGGGGGGGGCTGATTTCATTCCTTTCTCATTCCTCACAGTTGAAGTCTTTCTCTTTAGGGTAACATTCTGTCTAATGACTGCAGTAAAGATAAAATATATATATATATATCAGTGGATGCAGAAAAGTGAGTGAAGATATGAAGTTTCCCCCCCAGTACGTCTGAGCGTGTGTGATGATGTCGAGGCCTTAAGGGAAACATTTCAGCGAGGAGCATGTGGCGCCGGCAGATGTCGTGTTTGATGGTGACGGCTAATGGTTTAGTTTCCTTTTGATCTTTTTTGTAAGAGAGCGTGTTAGCGAGGTTTTGCCATTTGCGGACAACTTTGTGAAGCGGCGCTCTTTCATGCCGCTGGAGCCTAATTTACCTGATGTCTGCACACAGTGATCAAGGGGTTTGAACCTGTCGCGCTCTTTTGATGACAGTGATACCATTTTATATTATTTTTCATGCATTCACCCTTCTAAATCCTGCTGTCTCTCTCTCTCTCTCTCTGCCTGCAGAGCACCTAAAGGTGGCACTGGAGGAGTACATGGTGCGCATGCCGAAGGTTCGCATCCTGAGGACCAAGAAGAGGGAGGGGCTGATCAGGACCCGCCTGCTGGGAGCCGCCGCCGCTAAAGGAGAAGTCATCACCTTCCTGGACTCCCACTGCGAGGCCAACGTCAACTGGCTGCCTCCGCTGCTGGGTGAGCTTCACCTGCCTGAACCCAACCTCTACCTAACGTGTGACCTCAGTGCAGCTCTTGAGTATGTGTGGAGTGAGGGGGAGTGAGGGGGAGTGAGGGGGAGTGAGGGGGAGTGTGGTGGCGTCGCTTGGCTACAGGAGGTCTGAAGCCAAAAGGCCTGGGAACTGCTTCACTGCTCCATCTGTTGTGCTCGACTGTTTACTGACCCATCTGCCTCTCTCTCTCTCTCTCTCTCTCTCTCTGTCTCTCTCTCTCTGTGTCTCTCAGACCGGATCGCCCAGAACAGGAAGACCATCGTGTGTCCCATGATCGACGTCATCGACCACGACAACTTCGGCTACGAGACTCAGGCGGGAGACGCCATGCGAGGGGCGTTCGACTGGGAAATGTATTACAAGCGGATCCCCATCCCCACCGAGCTGCAGAAGGACGACCCCAGTGAACCCTTCGAGTGAGTGATGCTACTTTATTTATCTTTTGTGATTGTATCCTGATTATCTTATTGCGCCATGAGGGCATACATCTGTGGCCCGAGTGCGCCATTCAGCCGGCTGTGTCGGCGCCACGCTTCTTTTGAATGAGCTGCACGGGACCTTGTGGCGCTGATCGCTTCCTGCAGAGCGTACACGCCTCTGTCAGCACCGCCCTGCCTCCAGTGTAAAGCAGTTATTAACGCTAACAGGCCACTGAAAGTTGCGGAGCGTATCCGGACCGCAGCAGCGAGTCTCTCTGAAGTCCTTGGGCAGCAGGTATCAGGAGTAAAATCCTCAGGCTATAAACGGTTAACAAACAACGCTCTCTGACTGTGCGACGTGATCGGAGCCGCTGAGCCCCGAAGCTCCCCGGGTCGGTCTCCACGGCGATCCTCTGCGTACGGGCTGCGGTTCAGCGTTTTGTGGGAAGTGCCGAGGGCAGAGAGTTTGTGCGACAGCTGGAGTCGAGTATTTGGGTTTTGTAGAACTGATACTGCTGAAAGGTAAAAGGAGGCAGTAAATACAGGTTTAAACTCTCAATACGAAAGATCGGTTTGTTCGTTTTCAGCCGGCACAGCCTTTCGTTATCCGCAGGTTCTTGACTGTAGACCATGAGATGTGGCTGAAAGCTCAGGGAAACAGATGTTCTCCTTAATATCCAGATGTTGAAATGTTGCTCAGGATTTAACAGACTGAGCTCTTTCTATCTGTCACTGTGAACTCTGGGAAATTCTGGTTGGTATTTATTTTATTTAATTTTTTTACACTTTTTCACATTGTTGACAGCAGCTGAGAAAATAATGACTTGTTCAGATGCAGGTGTCGTTCATGTGTACGGCATCAGATTCCCCCCCCGGCGATGCTTCTCCCAATGCAAACAGGACTGATAGCTTCTGACCACAGTGACCTTCCCCCGGACGCCCGGCAGCACAGATAGGTAACCTTTAAGTAACTGAAGCCAGAATAAATAAAACTATTCCCGCAGACTGACTTCGCTATTAGGGCCAAATAACTCTGCATGTGATGCCAGACACTCCATTTGTGGAGGCTCGAGGGATTAGTTCGACAACATTTCTCTATGTTCGGATGCCAAAGACGATTTGGTGTGTCCTGGGAGATACAGTAGGTAGCGTCAGGCAGAGGGCGGCTGTGGTGCGGCGAGATAAGAGACTAAAGAAGAAGGAATGAGCTGCAGAACAATCAGAATCAATCCTCATTTGGTGAATTAGTCTGCTCCTCTAGCCCAATGAAATGACCTTCATCAGTGCAAATCTAATTTGAGTCGCAAAGATTTTCATTTTCATTCTGATTGACATTGCCGCAGCGCAGAATGAGGCACGGTGCGCCGGCGAAATCCATCTCGGAGGTCTGTGTGTGTGTGTGTGTGTGTGTGTGTGTGTGTGTGTGTGTGTGTGAGCATGATTTTATCCCTGTTCTCATGCCTCCGTCACTGTCTCTTTTGTCAGTGCCATCACCTCTCTCTCTCTCTCTCTCACCCCTCCTTTGGGCTTCAATGTTTCATTTAGCATTTAGCGGTGAGCTCAGGCCTTAACTCGGTCTCTGCTCAAGGTCAGTAGACTGAAATGGAGAATATCAACTTGAGCATTTCTCATTAAATCAAAATTGTGAGATGGAATATTCATGGACCATTGAGTTAAATCTTTTTCTTTTTTCCCTTCGCTCCAGCAAACTGACACATGCAAAAAGAACAAGTGAAGAAAAAGATATCTGCCCGGGCGAATGTTGTCAGAGACAGTAAAATAGGCTAAATTTAGTGTTCATCACAGAATAAGTGAAGCAGAGGACTAATCTAACCAGACATTAAAGGCTCCATATAGTCTAAAGGTCTGTGTCCATGTGTAGTGTGATTATAGATCAGCCCTAGCTTCTATATTAATACTGTGAAAGTATCAAAGCCTCAGTCCACAGAGAAATGCACACAGCCTGTATTCAGAAACTGAGCCTTAAAACCAGCCGTCAGGACTTCTGGAACTTTGTGATGTCACAACAAAGCAGTCACCAAGCCCCGCCCACCTGGACCCACCATCCAAACCTTGCAGGATTTGGTTTCTCTGAGTGTTTTTACCTGAAATCTGCTTTATTTTTATTGGATCACTCAGAAAACAGTCAGCCAATCAGAAGAGAGGCTCAGAGCCTCCTCTCTTCTGATTGGCTCACCGACCGGTCGTTACTAGAGCTCCAGAGAGAAGCCTGAGAGAGGAGATGTGAAACTACACTGAGATGAACCACAAATATATCTTCTCATGAATCAACACTTCAAAATAAAACACAGGATATTAAGAAAACATTGAGTTTAAATCTTAGATTCTGGTACTTGATAGTTTTTGTTATTGAAGCTACAGACAGATTTCAGTCTTTACAGAAACAGGGAATTTTTATTTAGCAAAGTATGAAGTAGAAGAAAGAGAGTCAGTAATCAAAGAGTAATGAGGTTTGATACACAGCCCTAAATCCAGCCTTTCACTTGTATGTTGTGTGTTTCTAGTTGTTTCCAGAACAGCTGAGGTCGGCTCAGACGGCGCTCGTCAATATTAATTCAGAGGAGCTGAACACTGGCTGAAAGCAGAGGTCTGCAGTCGTATTGTGCAGATCCCTAACCCTTCCTCCTTTTTTTTTTTGTTGGAAAAATAAAATGTAACATCAGAACAGTTGAAAGGGTAATTACGGCCAATCAGAGCCGCACAGTCTCTGTCTCTACTTAAAAGAGGAATAAATGTCTCAGAAATGTTGCTCGCAGTATTTGTGGCCACCGTGGCGTTCAGGTCGATTCTGAGCTCGTACCTCACTGTGTGTTTGAACTGGCAATCAAAAGCAAGTCTGTATGGGGCCCTGATGCTACCAGACAGGTTGCTACTGCATACCTCCTTTGTGTGTGTGTGTGTGTGTGTGTGTGTGTGTGTGTTCACTCTGAAATATCACAGTAATGGTATTTTACAACTGAGTGAAAACAAACCCCAGACTTGAGAGTCTCCAGTCACGTTCATGACTCTGTGAGGTTGTTCTCAGGCTCGAATATGTTTTCTCCGGGTTGAAATGAGCACTTCATTAACGTAGAGGACCTTCATCGTCATGGTTACAATAATAAACACACTGTTAAGCTTGTGGAACGGTAAAGGGTAAAGTGGTATTCACACGGGAAACTAGTCCTGTGTTTCGTCAGCCCTTCTCCTCTGCTCCCGTCATGATTAGTACGGCCACCAGAGGGCGACTGTCAGTAGATCTCCGAGCGCTGCGCTGTGACTGCGTCTCAATTCAGGGGCCCGCGTCCTTCAGGTTGCGTCACAGCGGCACCACCGGGCTGCGCCATTTCAAGGGCTCCTTCAAATGCGGCCCGACGTATCCCAAGATTCATTGCATGCAGGTAATGAAAGCAAACAACACTGGCAGAGAGCCTGAGGATTGCTTCTTTTAAATGTAAGTATGTGTTTGAGCTCAGTTCAACAGCTGACGGTACAACTGTTAAAACCAATAGAGACTTTAAAAAAAAAAACGTTGCGTGTTGTCAAGGTTGCTAGGCGACGGGAGCCATGCTTTGAGACGCAAGGGTGAGGGCGGGGGCGCAGCTGGTGACGCAAAGTGAAAAGTGTGACCCTTCGTTGACCCAGTCCTTCAGAAGTCTCCAGACTGAAGGCCGAAGTGAAATGGAGTCGACCTTCGTGACCTCTAGTTAAAATATCATCGATTGAAGCAGAGAAATACTAATATCTAAACTTTCCTGGATGATTTATTGTTATTTATTTTATTTAAAACTATATGATGTACCGTACGCCTACCATTGTTTTAAAAAAAATAACATAATTAAATTATATTCCTTCCAGCAAATCAACTTTTCAACAGAAAATCAACTTTTCAACAGAAAATCGTTCCTGAGCAGCAGCTAAACAAAGTAGTTGCTAAGCAACACAGGAGCAGCAGTGTGAGAGCGGTGACTTTGGGTCAGCGCATTAGCATTTTAAATGAAGTGTTGTGCAGCTTCAGGTGTGTCGTTTGAATCGTGGTTCGCTGTTTGACAAAGAGGAAGACGACTGTGATTATTCCTGGTGTAATCCGACGTGCAGCTTCCTGTTTCTGACAGTCGCTACAAAACAAAACAAAACAAATGTTGAATAAAAGCTCGGTCTTCTACGAAATGCTCACGTTACAATGACATTAAGAGTGGAGATACTTTTATTACATACGCTCCTGAAGTTGACATGTAGTTCCTACACAACGACTTCTTCAGGTTCACTCTCAGTGCAGCTGCTTTTCAGATAAATTTTCATTTAAATTTATTGTAAATTATTACAAACATATTAATGGATGAGATTCAGATTCAGAAAACTTTGTTAATCCCAAGACCAGTACATACACACAACCTCACACACACAGACAGGCAGATTGATCAGTTAATGTCAGAGGCAGCAGGTCAACGCACAAGGGAGCAACGAGCAGCAGTGAGTAAAGTCAATAAATAAAACAAATAAAATACATAAAAATAACAGGTTTTGTTACAGTTCAGTGAATAAATAATATAAATAAATGAATACGACAGTGATTAATGTCTGCAGCCTCGGGACAGAGAGGCCGAATCAAAGATGTTTAAATGTAAATCACATGATCTGATATAATGTAATGTGATGCTGAAAGTCAAGTTGTGGTGAATGAAACTGGAACTTGTTGTGGTTGAACGATCCCGGTGTTCACCGGCGTCATGTCAGCGTCTTCTTCTCCCACCGCCGCGACGTTCCAGTGCACACGGCTCCAGAGACGAGAGGTGTGTGTTTGTGTGTTTGTGTGTTTGTGTGTTTGTGTGTTCTCCCTCCGGCCAACGAGAACTAACAATCTCCACCCGGCAAATCAGTGCCCACACAGTGTCCACGCTCTCTGTGCTGAGCTCACACACTCCACTGACCATACAACAGTTGGCAATCACTACATTTGTGCGCGCACACACACACACACACACACACATACACCAGTCCTCTGTCCCCCTGCAGCTACTGTTGTTTATCCTTTGTCTCCTGATGAAAGTCTGTCCACTGCGTTTCATTCAGTGCTGCTCCAGTGTGTGTGTGTGTGTGTGTGTGTGCTGCAGCTGTGTGTGTGTGTGTGTGTGTGTGTGTGTGTGTGTGTGTGTGTGTGTTTGTCAGCTGTGCGTTTGCTTCCTCCAGCGTACAACAGATACCAGTCGTGGACGATGAACTGCTGAGACACGCTGTTAGCCAGTCAGGCGAGTCCAGTCAGTCGATGCGGGAAACGTATTTAAAGAGGCGGCGTTCGTGGCTCGCATCTCCGCCCGAGAATGAGTAACGGTTTTCTGCACATGTGAAAACTGCTCTTTATGAGAGAGACAGAAGAAGAAAGATGTCGTCCATGTTGTCCAAAGGGAGACATGGTGATGCGCTGCTGATCTCGCCTCTTGTTTGTGTGTTTGACGTGGGATGATTTCCTCACTTCGCTTCATGAACATGTTGTTTTACAGGTGTGCACCTGTACGTGACGCCTCGACAGAACCTCTTCAAATTTGGCACAAACGTTCACTTGGCCTCAAAGATTAGAAATGATTAGATTTTGGTGGTCAAAGGTCAAAGGTCAAGATCGTGGTTTCGACCTTGTGAATGCAATATATCAGGAACGCCCGGAGGGAATCTCGTAAAATCCGGCACAAACATTCACCTGTGTCTCATTGTGTGTGTCCTGCAGGTCACCTGTGATGGCAGGCGGACTGTTCGCCGTGGACAGGAAGTGGTTCTGGGAGCTGGGAGGATACGACACGGGGCTGGAGATCTGGGGAGGAGAACAGTACGAGATCTCCTTCAAGGTAAAACACAACAACAACAACAACAGAGCTGCAGTGCAGGAAATGATCAGTAGTGTGTTAAACATTACGAGCTCTGTGACATACACACATCATACTTTCATATCTAAGCAGAAGCAACAGGTTTCTGACCATCCGTCCTGTTGAACAGCAGCTGCCTCATTAGTCGTGCAGGAGAAAGACAACAGGTGTTATTTCTCTGAAGTCGTCTGTGTTGATGTGATCCAGGCTCGTTTCCTGACGTCGCCGCTCTTCCACCTTTCTGTAAAACTGAGAACGAAGAAGGTTCAGACGGTGAATCCGACTCTGGAAACCGGTTGATGTCCGTCATCTTGGTGATCATGTGCAGGTTTTCCTCCGCAGCTCTTTTCTCGTTAACGGACGACATTACTGAATCTGAGCTCATGGCAGCTCATTAAAAAACATGTGCTACTGACATCAGCTTGCGTTCAGTGATGTCACATATTGCCTCTCCTAATGTGTTGTTTATCCACAGCTCTTTAGGTAAATGGATAAAAGACTTGTTGAGCAAACGAGACGTTCCTCATTATAGTTTCAACCCTTGTTTCAGTGATTTAAGCCAAACATCCTCGGCTGCATCAAAGACCCTCCACATTAATCATACTCAGACTTCCTTATTAGATTATGCTTTTGTCTGGTGGCTCAGCATGAATCATTCTACAGCGAAGCCATAACTGCTTGTGACTTGGCCGGCATGTAAAGCACTGGTCTCCCCCCTCCTCCTCCCCCCTCCCCCCTCCTCCCTCCTCCTGCACTGCCTCCGTCACCGAGCTCCGGACTGACAGAGTAACCCGTCACAATAATTAAATTCTGCTTTGAATGAGTAAGGACTTTTGTCGTCTCACTCAATTAAGCACAAAGGCCGCTGCTGGGAAGTCTGATGTGATTGGACGCATGCTGCAGTGTGATACGGCCGCCATTGTTGCACAGAGTGAAGTTTCCAGCGTTTATAAAGCTCCAGTGCCAGAATCAAATCTGCTGTCCAAACAGTTTTACTTTCTCCCGCGTCTTCATGTTAGTGCGTTTTCGTCCTTGTTACTCCCTTTTGCTAAGCACAGAAATTCAACATACGTGTGATGCGTACGTTCACTGTGAGGCGTTTAGCTTCCACAGAGCGAGCAGTGTGAGAGCAGACAGAACAGACGGAGCTGCAGGAATCTGGAAACAGCAGGAAACGGCGTGCAGAGCTAAATGTTTAATACGACTGAACATAATAAAGACTCGGTGCAGGCACGCTCCGACATTCAGCAACTTTAATCCAAATCTGTTGTAATCATAAAGAATATATTCTCTGTACTTGACATGTATGTAGAGGATAGAACTACTGTCTCCTCTGAATTAAAGCTCCATATTTTCTTCTTCTTCTGTGTTTTTTTTGAACGGTTGATCCATCAGAAGATATAAAAACCATCTCAGTGCAGTTTTACATCTCCTCTCTCGGGCTTCTCTCTCTCCCATCAGGAAAACTCATGGTCATCTCCCTTTACACTGTATGAGACCTTTAAAATAGCTCCATGTTCATCTTTGAACCGTGGCCGATCTAGTGGCTGATCCGTTATATTTAGAGTTCAGATTCAGGTGTGTTGGATTAAAACAGTGTGTTCTTTTCATCTCTGTCTATGTTTTTGCCGAAGCACGACTTTCCTTTGTCCTTTTTAAATCCACAGACTTCAAAGCTCTCAAAGAAATATTTGCAATTCCAGTTTGTTAGAATAATGGGAAACCTTCGATGTTTTTATCTGTGCTCGCAGTCTTCTTCTCCGCCTTTGTTGGCGTGTTAGCTGCATTTTATTTTATTTTTTTTTAGCATGTCATCCCCACCGTCTGTTGATCGCTGGAATACAGCCTGAAACCATCTGCAGGAGTGTGTGTCGCCTCTCCAGCATGAACACACAGCGTGCACCCTCATGAGGATGCACACGAAAGCCAGATACGCTCATGAAAAAAACGTCGCACCGCGAGAGCTCCAAACCTCCACAGGGGAAGTATGCTTAGCCAGAAATATCCAGGTGACACGGACCTACCTGCACATTCAGCAGGACTCATGGAGGGAGCCGTGTTTTCAGGTCACCTGTCACAATAGGTGTGTTTCCAGTGTAAAGTTGTCCTTCAAGAATGTGTGCAGCTTCACACACTTGAAAGAGATTGATCCATCCACCCGGCTTTTAACCACTCGATGACAAAACGCTCTACTCCTTTTATTTTGGAAGGTTTCTGCCATTTAAATTGATAGTTCAGTCACATGGTTCTGTTCCATCGGTCACTGGTTATTAATCGTTAGTCATTCGGTGAAAAACCTGCGGATAGAAAAACCACAGAAAAAGAGAAAACATTTATATTTATTGTAAATGAATTAATAAGAAACAAACAGCCACATCAGTTCCTTACCACGATTTTATTATTTGTTTGCTTTTCATTACTCTCAGCTTCTCAGCTCAATATCAGTATTTTATTGTGTTGAAGCATTTCAGCGTAACGCATTTTAATATAAAGGATTCTATTATCATGTTTATTTATTAATAAATCTGCAGGTGTCTTAAACAGTCCTCTTTTTTTGTAACCCGTTAACGTTTTATTATTAATTATTATTATTCACCATGTCGAGTGACTTAAAGCAATCAACAGTTCAATCATCGCCATTTCCCGTGTCGACGTAGATCAAGAAGCCAGATCAAACATCAACAGTCAATCAAATAGTTTTACAGTATTTCTTCGTCTCTTCTGATACATTTTTACCTAATTCTATTTTTATACTATTTTTCTTCACGAATTTGTTCTAATTTCTTCAAGAACTCGACTTTGACTTGACGTGCAGTGAAGTCGCTGTTCCCGGGGTTGATGGGGTCATCAGGGTTGTAAATTATTAGCTGCTGTGATAAGTCATTGCTCCTCATGCCACCGCCCGCCGCGGTGCTGCGCGTTGAAGTGTTCAGGTATGGAGGTGAGCACACTGTAGAAGTCGTGCCGTAGAGGTGAGTGATAAGACTTTCAATTTAATCTGACTGGCGCTGAACTGGAGCTCTTGATCCCTCCTGCAGCTCGGCGCCCCCTGTTATTAAGCTCAAGTGTTTCAGTGCAGGGATGAAGAGGATGGAAGGGATTGGCGCAGCAAGTCGCACCTTCCCAACAGCGAGATGTGGAGAGGGTGGATCATTCCGCGTTTACCACGCCTCCCCTCCGTCTGTCCAAGCTGGAGTGGTGCGACAAAACTTGACAAGGGGGTAATTGAATTGAAATAGCAGCCAGCTGATGTCCACTCTGGAGAATCAGGAAGTGAGACTGATGCACAATATCAACAGACTGACTGGAAATGATGGGGGAAAAAAGAAAGAGCAACGTTTTCCTCATTATTGAGTACTGAGCTTCCCATGCAGCTAGTCCATGTGTATCATCATCATCATCATCATCATCATCATCATGTGTCCTTGAGAAAGACGCTAAACTGCAGCCTGTGAAAGCACAGAGAGAGTCAGTGCAGAGTATAACCTGGAAAAATGTTGAAAGAAGTTATTTGGAGACATTCTTGTCACGACAGGAGGAGGAGGAGGAGGAGGAGGAGGAGGAGAGGATTTGGGAGGATGTGGAGGACGGTGTTCTGAGGTGGGAGGAGAGGTCAAACACAGTATGAATAACCCAGATCATATCGTTCAGTCACAAGAAGTCGCTTTTGTTAACTTTAAAAAATCATTTCCAAAGGAAAATCAGAAAAACAGGCCACAGTGGTCAGTCAGTCGGGGGGGGGCAACTATTTCTCCAGGGTGAAAGGAAACCCAGTACAGTGCTTCAGTGACCTGAGGTGTTTCTCACACACGTATTTTAATATTGTTCAATGAGCCAACAGGTAAAACTCCTGAATCCCTGAGTGAAAACAAAGAGGGTGACTATTATAAAAACTAATGTTAAAGGTAAAAGACTGAACCACCACATGAAATAATAAACTCTATATTGATGTGAAAACGTTTCTCTACAACAACTAATCCTCCATCGTCTCACTGCTCATGACTGAGCTCCAGAGTTTGTAACATCAGATCATACATGACATTTTATTTTGGTAATGAAATGACAAGCTAACACTGGAAATGAAAGGGCATGCTAACAGCTAGCTAACATGAGTTAGCTAAACTGTAACTAAAAGCTAAAGCTAGAAACTAGCTAACATTAGTAAGATAAACTGTACCTTAAGGCTAAAGCTAGAAATGATGTGACATTAATTAGCTAAACTGTAACGTAAAGCCGTAGATACTTGAAACAATCTAATTCAGAAACTCTGCAGTAGGAAAGTGAAGTGTCATAAGAACTCGTGATGTAACTTAATCACAATCAATAATCACTGTGATGGATTTTACAACTTGAGTCTTCAGTTTGATTTTCACACTGTATGGAAATGAATGGAAAACTGTAAAAGAAAGGTGATTCATACAGCAGCAGGTTTTTGTTGTTGTTGTTGTAAATAATAGAACAGAACAAAAAGCCTTTATTGTCATTGTACAAAAGAAATATACAACGAAATTCTGAGAGCTTCTCCTGATCAGTGCAAACAAAAGAAGAAGAAGAATGACATGAAGTGGAAGTTTGTAGACGATGCAGTGAAACGGTAGAAACAGCACAGTACATCCTTGAAGCGCAGCTCTATAACTGCCTGAACAAAAGAACCAAGCTACATCATGTCACACTTTGAAAGGTTCGTGCAACACGAAGGTGAACGCATGAGGAAATTAAAAAATGCGTGGTGTTAAAAGATCTTAATCTCAAAGAGCTCGTGCTCCGTTTTAACCGTCCGACCTCCTGACCTCAAACCGTTCTGACTATGATTAAAGCAACACATCACTCAAATATCCATCTTTAAAATTTCAAATGCTCTCACTCTGTGGACTTGAAAGGTGGCTCTGCTTTTTCCCCCCCGAGCAGCACGGCAAAACCAATTCCAGTCTTTATCATTAAGCTAAGCGTGATTGACTTGCTTGTTCTCTTTGATGTCATTTACTCGCTTTGGTCTCTGCGGTGCAATCTGCAGACCCGCGAACTTCGGAGTCGTTTTTGTGGAGTCGTTCTCACTTCCTCTCACCCCGTCGTAGAGGAGGATGGAAATCTGCATCTTTTTTAGCTTTTGTCTCCTGATGAAATCTAACGTGATATTAATCAGCGAGGTCGTAAACATGAGTCCTCCTAGGATTCCTGACCCGGTCAACGTACCCTACAACCCTGAACGTACAGTGAATAATGCCCCTCTGTTTAACAATCATCTTCCCACTCCTTTTCTTCATGTCCTAACCTTGTCTGCCCTCCATTGCTTTGTCTTCATCACGTCCTCCCACGCTCTGTCTTTCTCTCACAGTGTTTGTTTCATCTCTGTGATTTGTTGACCTTGATAGCTCATCTGATATTTGCACTGTTCACACAAACACCAGCGCAGCAGCTTTGACAAACCCTTTTCTCTTTCTCTCTCTCTCTCTCTTTCTCTTTATCGAGGCTGACTCTCTCCCTCTGTGTCTCTGTAGGTGTGGATGTGCGGTGGTCGGATGGAGGACATCCCTTGCTCCAGGGTCGGACACATCTACAGGAAGTACGTCCCCTACAAAGTTCCTGGTGGGGTCAGTCTGGCCAGGGTGAGTCTCAGATCCTTGAGGTGGTGGGTCGCCTTTGTTCGTATAGATGGAATTCACCTGTGTTAAAGGGCCAAATTTAGCCAAATAAAATGAGCTTGAACATCTGGTCAGATATATATATATATATATAAATTGAACTGATACTTTAAATGGTCATTTAAATTCATTTTTTACAATTATTTGAGCCCCTTTAGTTTCTTTCATGTTGCAGTGAAATAAATTAGAACAGTTTTCTAACACTGAGCTGAAGCTTCCGTATTCAATGCAAACTTTAACACTTCAACACATTTGTGGGAGACGTTTAAAAAAATGTTGATGTGTCCTGCAGCTGAACATGATTCATTATGCATGACTCAGCGTCGGCCTGACACCTGGCTCTGTTTGGCTCCGCTGAATGTGTAATTAAACCTCTTGGCCCCTGTTTTTGTCTCGTCAGTCTGACCGTTAGCCCCTTGGCGAGGCTATGTTGAATGCTAATATCAAACAGGCAGCAGGTTTAACAATAACTGAAATACTTACTGTACCTCCGGCTGTGATGGAGTCTGTTTTGTCCCCCGTGTCCTTTCTCTCTCTCTTTCTCTCTCTCTCTCTCTCGCTCTCTCTCGCTCTGCCTCTTACAGCTGCTTTGCTTCATTTTAGTGGAGGAACATGAGGAAGTCAGGGAGGGAGATGCTTCATTTGAATGTGTTTTCACTTAAAACTATATGATGATGTTTTGTGTAAATGTTTTAAAAGAAAAGCAGATTCAGAGTAACAGAGATCTGCAGACAGGTTTTGTTGTTTGGCGACTCCAACAGGAAGAAGGATATTTAGATATTTAGCTATTTTCATGTGACGTTTGGCCTGTTCGTGGTCAGGAAAAAGGTCATGAAAACCACATGAAGATGCTTATGTGGAGCATCTTTTATCCTGTGATGTGTCGCCAGTTTAAAAGATTATCACCTACCAAATTTGTGCACTAGCAGGATGACGTTGCTATCCATTGCAACAAAAGTTTAAACCATGTTTTAAATTAATTAATTTGCACCAAACTTCACATAAAATTTGATGCAGATCCGCTCTAGTAACAACAGGTCAGTGAGCCAATCAGAAGAGAGGAGGCTCTGAGCCTCTCTTCTGATTGGCTGACTGTTTTCTGAGTCATCCAATGAAAATATAGCAGATTTCAGGTGAAACCCACCAACCAAATCCTGCAAGGTTTGGATGGTGGGTCCAGGTGGGCGGGGCTTGGTGACTGCTTTGTTGTGACATCACAAAGTTCCAGAAGTCCTGACGGCTGGTTTTAAGGCTCAGTTTCTGAATACAGGCTGTGTGCATTTCTCTGTGGACTGAGGCTTTGATACTTTCACAGTATTAATATAGAAGCTAGAGCTGATCTATAATCACACTACACATGGACACAGACCTTTAGGCTGGAGGAGCTTTAAATGTGTCTTTTGTCAGTCCTGTGATGCTAAACGTGCTGGAGTGCTTCGGGGGGGTCGGGGAAGAGTTTAGTTTGTGTCAGGGTTTATTCACGGTTCACCAAGAGAAGCTTCAGTCATGGTCTGAAAATCCTTTGCCTGAGGTGAGAATTAAACCCAAAGTCTTCATTTTCCTCTTCGCTGTTTCAGCATCATGTTTCTCTTTCATGTGATCGTGTCACGGCGAGAGAAACGTGCACAGAGGACATTGTTTGCACTTTAAGTTGTCATAAAAAATTTTACAAAAAAAAAAAAAAAAACACACCACAAGAGGAGGTGAGTCCCTTCAGCAGGTAGAGATAGTGAGAACAAAGACTCTCCAGACACTTCCACACCCCCACCCCACCCGAGTCCAGTCAACATGGAGGGAGACAGAACCACTGAACTCCACTTCACCTGGAGCCTGAGTTTAGCTGCAGGCAATGAGTTATGCTACAGGGAGTGTGTGTGTGTGTGTGTGTGTGTGTGTGTGTGTGTGTGTGTGTGTTGGCTGGAGGGTTTTTTTTATTTCTCTCCACCATATCTGTAGCTGCAAAGGCTGTTGGAGGATTTGTATTTATTCCTTCCTGGGAGGCTCGCTGAACCTGTATTCTCATTCATTTCACCATCCACACCCACGAGGCTGCAGCTATCTGTATTCCCAGACATGCGTCCGTACCTCAGAGGCTGACAGGATCTGTGTTTTTTTTCACTCCTTTACACCTCAAAGACTTCAGGTGGATGGACTTCCCGTTGCTCAGGTGTAAATCTTTCATGTTTGCAGTTGTCTGAGCTTAAACAACCTGTCTGCACTGCAGCTGTTGTCGCTCACAGTTTGTATCAGTCATCTGCTCGTGCTTTTTTTTCTTTTTCTTTTTATTCAACTGAAATCAGATGCTTTCATTATGATTGATGCAGAGCGATGAAAGCATATGGATGCCACTTTCGTCGTGCATTAAAGCCTCTAAATGCATAATTCAGTGGCCTAAATGCACACTAAATAATGCATTATGGCCAGTGTCCATATTCTTTTATTTTTTCAAGTTAATTTCCCACTGACCTCATTAAGTCTGCTGCAGAAGCAACTTGTGCTAAATTACAAATGCACATCAAAATAGTTTGAGTGTAATCAATAAAAAAAAAACAAACACCTGTGACATGACATGAACACTGGGATATAAAGACAGTGAAAGATTAAAGAAGTGCAGCAGTGGTGGAGTCTACTGATACGCAGGTGTTTATCCACTAAGAAAGCTCCAGAATCTCTGTATGACCACTTAAAAACGCCCAAGGATACGTAACCACTCACACTTACACTTCGAGACACGCCGAGCAAGACGGAGAGAGAAGCTAGCGCTAACTGCTAAGCTAAAGTAACTGGCAGATCTGAATAAACAACTGCTGAATTAGTGAAAGTGGCTAAAAGCAGCTGGAGCAGAAGCAATGTGAGCGAACCCCAAGAATAACGAAGGGCAGGTTCAGGATATTCGTCCTTAAGAAGATCAGAGGAGACACTTTTCATCCGACAGTTAAACAGTCTGTCTTTTACCCACATGTTTCACACGGCTGACACGGCTCTCAACACATTTTAACTTCCCCCAAGAAGTGGTCCTGTCAAGACGCTTCGCAGCAGAACCTGCAGGTGGCTCGGAGTCAGAGTGGAGGGAAGTGAAGCAGACTTCATTATTCTTCCCTGGGCTTTGATTAGCATCAGCGTGACTGATTCTGTTCCTCAGATTCAACAGATATGCTCGTCTGTGTCGTTATAAATATCCACATTTACATAATATGATGTAGCTCTTCAGCTGATGCTTGAACCTGTTTGACCCTTGAATTTAAGTGTTTCCAGTATTTCACAGTATCGACAGTATCACATAAAAAACATTGTTTAATGAGGCGTGTAACTAACTAACTAACTAACTAACTAACTAACTAACTAACTAACTAACTGCCTGACCTGTCTTCAGCTGATCCAGGTTCAGAACCTCTCAGTTCAGCTCGATCACAACTTTTTTTCTTATAAAAGAAGAAGAAGAACTAGAATCCTCAGGCTCTCTGTCACTGATGTTTGCTTTCGTTACCAGCACGCAATGAATCTTGGGAAATGTTGGGCTACGGAGGATCCACCGGAGGATTTGCCCCAGGAGAAAGAAGCATTTTGAAGGAGCCTAGTTGCGTCGCTGTGACGCCATCGGTCTTCAGATTGGCCCCTTGAACTGAGACACAGCGTCTGTGAATGTTTCTGCCAAATGTGAAGAAATTCCCCCGAAGGTGTTAATGAGATGTCGTGGTCACGAGAACGGGACGGACAGACGACGCGAAGCCTCCGGCGCTGGCTGTCGCCGCCGCGGAAACATGAAGACAGAAGGGAAACAGAAAAACATGTCTGTCTTCTGTGAAGCCGCCCTGTAAATTAGCAGATAACTGAGTTCAGCGTTGTATCTGCTTTCATGACTGGAGACAAGTTGCTTCTATTTTTTTCCATCAGTCGGCCTCCTGGGGGGGGCGATGACAGGTCCTGCATGATGACTGGCTTCCTCTCTGCTCGGCGGCTTTGATCGTTTTGTCATGTCAGATCAATCAAAACATCAAGGACGGCAGGAAGTACAGATGATGGCTCAGTCTGTTTCAGTGAAGACGCCACGTCCAGAAACAAAGACCTGCTGACAAGCCAGTTGACTTCAGGACTCAGCTGGATGTTGATATCCCACAGCATGAACACAGTAGACATTGTTGTATTGTAAGTTAATGTGCAAACCTTTTACCGCTGCTCTCGTTGTGAACAGTGGCTCATTAAGTCATTCTTCTTCTTCCTCCAGACAAACATCACTGACAATAAGTCGAGTGGTTTAAGCAGCTGAAGTGAAACTGAGCTCTGACTCGTCTTCCTCTCAACTCTTCTTCAGCTCATTATCAGTGGATCAAATGAAAAGATTTCCTCGCTGTGATGAAACCACAGAGAATTATCGTTCATCTCTGCAGCTCTACTCCGCTTTTTATCGTCTTTCAGCTCGTTGTTTTGTTTTTTTTTTTACAAAACACATGTTCACCGTCACGGTTCAGGCTACGTCCACGCTCATTTAAAAAACAGCGGTTTGAAATGAAAACGCTGAGCATGCTGATGCGGGTGTAAACATGGGAAGCAGATTGTCTCCTCTGCAGATTAGCTGTGGAAAATACTGCAAACGAGGAACGGCAAAGACAGTTGCAGCGTTAAAATGCTTGTAGCGAAGATTTAAAACTTAAATGATGGACGAAAGTTTCAGAGTACGACATATTTGGACTCAGCGTGCAAAGGCATCAGTGTGGACGAACCCTCAGTGTCTCCACTCGCATCAGCCTCATGAATACAAACATGAGGTTACACATACATATACATTATAAGGTTTATAGAGGGTGTCACATGTTGGACAGTTTGTAAAGTTTGTAAAGAACAACATGTCTTCACTTTACATTAGATAATAAATGAAAAGTCACTGGTTGTAGTTTTGCTGACGTGAGATAAATGGCCGAAACGTGGGATGAAAGCAGAAATGTTTCCCTGTGATTTCAGAACCTGAAACGCGTGGCGGAGGTGTGGATGGACGAATACGCCGAGTACATCTACCAGCGCCGGCCCGAGTACCGCCACCTGTCGGCGGGAGACATGACGGTGCAGAAGGAGCTGAGGAACCGGCTCAACTGCAAGAGCTTCAAGTGGTTCATGAGCGATGTGGCCTGGGATCTGCCCAAACACTACCCGCCGGTGGAGCCCCCCGCCGCCGCGTGGGGAGAGGTACGGTCAGACCCTCGCACTTTAAAACACATTAACCATCTCATGGAAAGATCGAATTAGGTTTTGAAGGCGTGACATCATGACCACAGGAAGATAAACCACACATCTGAGCAGTTGAAGTTAAAGGCTGCTTCAGCTCACCTTCCTTTAAAATCACATTTTTATCTTTTTGTTTGAGCCAGATTTTTGTCCTGAAGATAATTTCTCATATTATTGTTAATGAGTTCATTTCTCCTCAGTGGTCACAAGGACGAGACTCCACACTCGATATTTAGCGTCACATTTTTATCAAACATCAAACTTTTCCGTCACAGAAAAAAAACAATTTGTCATGAATCAATCAGAGCTTTGGTTTCTGAGCTGCTGAACATTTACATTGATTTTAAACGCTGTTAAAAAAAAAAGAGAGAGAGAGAAAACATCAATTATTCAGTGTTTTATAAGCGATTATCTTCGAGGCATGGTTTTTAATTATTAAACGCTTTAATTTGAAATTATTTCAACATAACCATCAAACCAAAAGATCAAGATCATTAGTAACAGTTTCTAAAATAACTGTCAATAAAACTCTGTCTGAATGATAATGTGTGTGTGTGTGTGTGTGTGTGTGTGTGTGTGTGTGTGTGTGTGTGTGTGTGTGTGTGTGTGTGTGTGTGTGTGTGTGTGTGTGGTGAGAGGAGTGATTTAATGTGAATCAGATTCATCGACTTCAAAAATAAACCAAACTGATGATGATTCGAAAGCTTCATCTCTGCTGACTAACAGCTGAATGTCTCTTGTGTCCTGTGTGTGTGTGTGTGTGTGTGTGTGTGTGTGTGTGTGTGTGTGTGTGTGTGTGTGTGTGTGTGTGTGTGTGTGTGCTGCAGATCCGTAACGTGGGCAGCAGCGGCATGTGTATGGAGAGTAAACACTTTGTGTCGGGGAGCCCCATCCGCCTGGAGAGCTGCGTGAAGGGGCGGGGCGAGGTGAGCTGGAGCCACGGACAGGTGAGCAGCAGCGGCGTGTTGCGCAACAGATAAACACACACTCCCCTGAAAACCTGTTTTAGTTTACAGCGAACAGACTCAGAGTATTAACAGATACAGAAGATGTGACCCTGACCCTGTTTCCATTAGAACAGAATTAGCTTGTTGTGCAGGAGGATGTTAAACAAATAAAACTGAAATAAACTGAAAAGATCAAATAATTGAATAAATACATTCAGACATAAGTAAAAGCAGTTTTAGTGTTTTGAGCGGTTGATGTCTGTTACACGGCGTGTTGGTTGGTTTTCTTCTATTGATTTGTAAAGGTAATATTAGATTTATCTTTGGGATTTTGGCTCCTAATGTTTGGTGGAGTCGGGTTACACAGGTTCGTCGGTCTGTGCAGCAACATGTCAAATACCTGAGAGGATACAAGGTTATTTACACAGCACCTTTCAGACACAAGGCGCTTTACAGAGGCATGGAAACACATCAGAAACAGAACATGACGGTGAGATTAAAGCAGCATTTAAAAACAATAAAAACTCATTGGAACAAATAAAAAATCCAATGAGAAACTTTCCTTTTTAAGGATGAAAACTCATGTGTTCACTCTTCTACTAAATGGCGACTCAGCACAACAGACCCTCTTCACCCGACCGACAATCTCAGGTGTTCAGGAAGCTCGTTCCACAGAAACTGCACCTGGCTTGGTTCTGACTGAGAACACCTGTCCCAGGTGGATGCTTCGTATCGTACAAGTAGATCAGAGATGTGTCAGAAGCTTCTCGTTTCTTTACTGCGGTCGAATCCAGAGAACTTTTATTTCATTATTACATTTCACTGTTGTGTCTGTGATACATGGTCTCCTTAGTGATTGTATTTCTTCTTCTAAACACACATAAATGTCAAATGCACTTACACAGACGCACAAACAACACACACACACACACACACACACAGGCATCACACGGCTTCATTATCTTTGCATTGTTCCTAAGGAGTCTGTTTGTTGTCGCACGTCACACTTGAAGATCTTTAAGCCGAGCTCATAACGCAGCCTTAATGGATTGAACGTCCCCCTTTTGTTTCCTGCCGCTGAAACGCGGCACCTCGGAGCTCTGACAGTTTAATTGCTTTAATGTGAAGATGCATTGTCGTTTAATCCGTGTCACAGTTGCGATCTGTGTTCAGGCGCCTGGCGAGAAATGGATTTGCTGCAAATCACAGGAGGCCCTCTGGCTGCCGCCCTCGTCAGGGCTTTTTTGATTTGGTGCGAGAGGAGCAGAAAAGTCTGTGTGAGCGACGGCCGTCACTGGACATCAAGCTTTATTCTTTACTGTCAGGAAACGGAGCGATCGAGAGATAGAATCAAAATGATGCGGGAAAAAAAGATTTTTTTATTTTTATTCTCAGACAACAAAAATATGAAAATATGAAAAAGGAAAATCTTTTGACTTGAAAAATGTAATAAAAGCACAAGGAAATGACTCACACTCACACATTAAGTACAAGCATGTAATTAGAAATACTCAACAACTAGTCTGGCTCCTCGACGCTGAACACAAAAACCCCGATTTCACTTCAAACGACGCTTCCTGCCAAATTACGACCTCAGCATCAGTCCTGAGTCCTCTGGTCATCGTGTTGGTTTTATGACGCAGCTCCGAGGTAAACAGATGAGGACACTGACAAACAATTACATAAATGGAGGAACATTAAGGACGTCATCGATCACAGTGTCGTGAAGGTCTCTCCCGAGTGCAGTGAGTCATGGTGATTCTGTTGCGGATGAACAGATGATGAGAAAACGCTGCTTCAGTCTGTGATGATGACTGAAGTTGTTACTGAGCAAGGACAGGACACACAGCACAGGGAGAACATATATTATATTACAGGATATTCACTCAGTGTTCAGATTATCTTGGTCTTTAATGAAAACACGTTAAGTAAAGCTCCATATAAGTGTTGATCCATTAGAAGATATATTGGCAGTTTAATCTCCTCTCTAGTAACCAGCTAAAATCAGTTAGCGAAACTGTAACTTAAGGCTAAAGTTAGCTCTCAAGTGATCCACTAAAAATATATCAGATTTCAGGTGAAAACACTCAGAGAAACCAAATCCTGCAAGGTTTGGATGGTGGGTCCAGGTGGGCGGGGCTTGGTGGCTGCTTTGTTGTGACATCACAAAGTTCCAGAAGTCCTGACGGCTGGTTTTAAGGCTCAGTTTCTGAATACAGGCTGTGTGCATTTCTCTGTGGACTGAGGCTTTGATACTTTCACAGTATTAATATAGAAGCTAGAGCTGATCTATAATCACACTACACATGGACAGAGAGCCAGATATTTCCCTCGGAGCTAAAAGAGAGGAAACACTGAGAGGAAACATGACTCCAAAAGAATAATAATGTTGCTCTATGTAACTGCTGGATGTGGAAAGAAAGTTGGCACACAGTTGCTTAAATTGATAAAATGTTGATGTTGTGTTCAAAGCTTGTTATTGAAGGTTTAACCACGTTTAATCTTCACACAGTCAGTAAGAATGTGAATATTGTGCATGTGAGGATGAGTTCAGCTCTAATACAGGTCAAATGTTGGATCCCTCAGAAAATACCTTCTCTTTAATTTTCCTACAAAATGGAAAATAACCGAGTTTGATAAAATCAGACGTGTTATTATCCACAGAGGCTGCACTGGCTTGTGATCTGCGGATAAACTCTCCGAGAAGGAAAACATCCACACTCGCATTTAATGGATTAATTTTAATAGGCAGCACAACACCGAGCCACGAGCAAGTGGAAAGGCCACGACACCCATAAACAGTTTTCCAAGTCGGAGGAACCTTGACATTTCTGAAATTTTTCCTCAACAACTTTAGAAAAGGGAAAACGCTATAGAGGAGCTGTAATTATGTTTCGCCAGTGAAACTGATTGTGAGGGTCAAAACCAGAGTCTGAAGGGAAGAAGCAAGATTAAATTCATGTATAAAAATTGGAAAGTGCCAGTTAAATACTGCTGCTCAAAACAAAACTTTTTCTTTAGACTTTTACTGTGTATTCGTAAAAGAAAAGGTCTCATTTATAAACGGAACACAAAACATATTGTGGTTGTTCGTAACTTTGGCGGCGGCTCTGTAATGAGAGACCACAGTGTCTCCGTCTCCCACCGGTTTGATTTGATGAAATCTGAAGAGCCGATGCACCTCATCACTGATCAGGAAGTTCATTTCTTTTGTTTTTTAATCTGTTCCCTGCAGGTGTTCACGTTCGGCTGGAGGGAGGACGTCCGGGTGGGCGACCCCATGCACACTAAAAAAGTCTGCTTCGACGCCATCTCCCACAACAGCCCCGTCACCCTGTACGACTGCCATGGCATGAAGGGCAACCAGCTGTGGCGCTACAGGAAGGTACGGCATCAGAGTTTATAATCTTCTCGTATCCCTCCGCCACTCAAACTAGTTCCAGGTTACATCCCTGTTTATCCAGAGTCACATAATATATGAACCATTTGTGTGAGATTTTGTCATTATTTCTGTGTGAAGTCTTGAGTAATGGCTAAAAAGTGAACCAAATGTGAAGGGATTCCCTTTAGGAGTTCTCGAAGACATTGCATTCGCAATCGCAAAATCATGTTTTTTTGAGGTCACCTTGACCTTTGAACTTTGACCTTTAGCCACCAAATTCTAATCAGTTCATCCTTGAGTCCAGGTGAATGTTTTTACCAAATTTGTAGAAATTCCCTCAAGGCATTAACGGACGTATTGCATTCACAAGGCCAAAACTGTGTTTGTGAGGTCAACAAGCCCGTGACCTTTAACCTTTGACCCCCAAAATCAAATCAGGTCATCCTTTAGTTCTTATGAATGTTTGTGCCAAATTTGAAGAAGTTCCGTCAAGGCGTTACTGAGATATCATCCATGAGAATAGGAGGGACGGACATACAAAGCAAGCATAAAAATCCTGAAATTTGGAATGTCAGAATGTCATTGAATGCACCACCAGAACAGTTAAAACGGTCCCTGCGGGCGTCTCTGTCGCCACAGGATGAATCTGTGGTGGAATGGAAACTGTAGAACAGTTGTGTCGCTGTGGGGCTCGGATGAGAAACGTTAAAACGATCAAAGTCTTGACGTCCGTCTTCTGTCCTCACTTCCTGTTTGTCCGTCTCGTCTCCCTCCAGGACAAGAGCCTGTATCACCCCGTCAGTAACAGCTGCATCGACTGCAGCGCCAGCGAGCGCCGGGTCTTCATGAACACGTGCAACCCCTCCTCCCCGACCCAGCAGTGGCTGTTCGAGAGGACCAACGCCACCGTGCTGGAGCACTTCAACCAGGGCACCAACTGAGGCCCCGCCCCCTCGCCATCTGAGAGAAAAGGGAGTCGTGACGCAGGCGGACGTGGATCTGCTGCTCCTGCTGCTGTGAATGGGGTTTTTTGTTTTGTTTTTTTTACATGAACTCTGCCCCCCCCCCCACTCCGCCCCCCCGACTCCATGTTTACCTGGCACTGAGGTGACACCTGTTTCTCTTTGGGGTGCTCAGAGTGAGGCAGGATGGGATACCGTTCAGCGGGGAGGGGGGAGGAGGGGGGGGTTTAAAAACATCAGTTAGAGTAAAAAAGACTTGAGCTCTGACTGATGGGTGTGTGTTTAGAAGTGACTGTGTGTGTGTGTGTGTGTGGGGGGGGGGTGTTTGTCATTCTGTGGCGGCGGCTCCGTCTACTTCCTGTTTTTGCTGTTGATCGGTTATCTGACATTCCTCCATCTTCTTTTGTCTATTTCAGATTTTCTCTGCCTTTATCTGTTGCCTTTTCTTCCCCCTCGTTCCTTCACCTCCGTCTCTCCACCTTTATCCCCCCCCCCCCGCTCTGCCTCCGCCCGCACGTCCATCTCCCTATCTGCCCGCGATGACTGCACCTTTTGCCCACCTCCTCCATTCTCCCTCTCAAATCCCCTTATGTTGTCTCTGGCTCTGACAACCTCCCTGGGGGGGGGAGGGGAGGGAGTGAGGGGGGGACTCATGCTGAGCCAAAGTCATCCTGACACCTGGTGAAGCCAGCAGAACCACTCTGAAAATCACCTGGTGAATTGATTCTCCTTTACAACCCTTATCCACCCTCGTCCTCCCCCACCCTCCACCCTCGGCCTGTAGTTTCTCTTGGTTGACTCTCCTGACAAAGAAAGTGGGAGGGGAGGAGATGGCAGCCTGTTGCACCCCCCCACCCCCCCTCGCTCCTTTTTCCCCTCCTTTCCTCGCTGTATTTATCGATGAGTCGTTCGCTGGTCTGTCACTGTGCCACGTTCTTTTATTCCTCAGAGGCGAGCGCTATCGTCACGCCAGGGTCTGTGGAAGCCAACTATCACTGGCTAAGGGCTTGTTTGTTGTCATGGCGCTAGTGACCGTGGGTGGTGGTGGGTGGTGGGTGGATCGGGGTGGGGGGGGCAGCCGCTGTCACAGCTCTCACAGAATCTCCAGCCGGCTCGCCGTACGCCTCCCCCCCCCCTTTGCTGCTCCACAGTCAGCTGCCGGAGCGACCTCGTCACGGACGGGCGAGCGCAGGAGGTCACGTTGCGGTGCGGAGCAGTGGCCAGATGACTCGCCTGATTGGCCGGTTGCCGAGCTGACACATCACTTTAGCGTACAGTGCGAGCGGGAGGAGAGACGGATGGGGGGAGTCACTGCGGATAGGCTCGCCAAGGTAGCTCTGGGATTGAGACGAATGTGGGGATTTAAATGCATAAAGCACTTGTGTAATGATAAACTTGAATGAAATCTTAGTGCCTTGTTGGAAGAGGACTAGATGTTGGTGTGTGTGTGTGTATTCGCAGGAAGTGTGTGTTGTGTGTGTGTGAGTGTGTGTGTGTGTGTGTGAGAAGCGTAGGGAACAATTCACTCAATTCAGGAAGTTACTTTTCTTAAAGACGGGAATCTTGAAGGTTCTCGTTTGGTAAAGTGAACGTGAATTGAGGTGGACTCTGGTGCAGGACATTGAAGGCACCACCGGCTCTGTGACTCTATGGCTTTCTAAATGAACACACACGTGAACTGCTGGCTGTGAATAGAGCTGAAGAGACTTTTGTTTTCATGTTTTCTCCTGCCTTGAAAACTTAACTACAGTCCTAAGAAGATCTTTGTTATATTATAATCACGACATGATGCTGTGTTGTTGTTTTCTTTCCCCACCTGTTCGATCCAAAGTCTCTTTACGGGAAAGGGAATGGTTGTTGTTGTTTACCACCCTGTTTTTTTAAAAGAAATGTTCTTTGATCTTTTCTTTTGATCCTGTGGTTCAGCTGATGATGATTTTGTTTGATTTCCTGTTCGACGTGATGTTCTGGTCTGGCGCCTGCACCCATTCCCCGCTCCCATGTTGTGCAGCAGAACTATGTACAGTGTGTTTTCATCTTGCCGTGGTAGATTTTAAAGAGTCATAGACCAAAACAAAGAGTCACATCTTCTAACGTCCCTCAGTCGAGGTCTTTGTCTCGTCACACAGAGCTGAGTAACGTTCAGAAACTTGAACCTGGATCTACTTGTTGTCACATTTTGTCATGATCAATTCAATCTAGGCTTGGGCTGATAATCAATAGTGTCAAATATTGCAATATTATAATATTACACTTGGCATAATGTTGAAATATTTAAAGAAATTGAAATTTTGAATAATAATTTTGCATATATGCAAAAAATCAAATTTTATATCAAATATATATGTGATATATATATTGAAAAAAAATGTAATATTGCAGATACATATGTATATTTATATGTACACACACATAATTTTGCATATATGCAAAATTATTATTCAAAATTTCTATGTATGTATATATATGTGTGTGTTATATATATATATATATATACATTTATATATGTTACAAGATGATGAAACCACATGCAATTATATCATTGATATTTGTATTGTGATATTACATTTTGGATATCGCCTAATTCATCAATTCATCACTATCAAATAGTGATGACTTTTTGCCAATTACCAGGAGCTGAAGCTTGTGGGATGATTATTTCTTTTACCACTGACTTTGAACACATCTCCACACGGTCAGAATATCTGCAGTGAGATTATTCAGATTCAGAACACACTGGCTGAGTGGGTTTACAGTTGGTACTTTAATGCATTACATACATTAGCTAATTGTAACGCCATGATTTCCTTTAGATGCGTCCTCACATTGATCCAAAGTCACGTGCTATAACAAAAAGGCAACTGCCAGTACATGCATAACTTTTTTTCCCCTGTGTTTTATAGACATTATTATGAACGCATCATGTGTCTATATAATCTATAATGTGGCCGTTAATCGACCGTCTCACGCCTCATTTATTTAGTTTGAAAATCACCAGAATCACAGTTTCCTTCAGATCACCTTCCTCAGTCCTGACTCTTGCACTCCGGTTAGTTCAGTCCAGGGTTTCCTCTGTGTCTCCTCCTCCCTGACCTTCAAGCTTCACGCCTGGACAAGCTCCTACATTGTCACGCTGTTAAAGAGGTGACTGGGAATTGCTGCCTCAGACCACCGAGTCACTGCTGTTAGCCAAGTTTCCACTACAGGACCCAACAGGACCGCACGTCTGACCTTTACTCGCCCTCACATAGTTACATTTCCTACATTTCCTCCTTCCCTCGACACGTAGTCACGGTAACAGTGTTTTAAAACTAAGTCCTGTTTGGATCAGTCGAAACTCTGGGCCGTTGGATCATGTGACTCTATGAGACTCCAGGTGGATGCACAAGGCGACGTTATGGGCTGAAATAAGACACTGGTTCAGGTACAAGGAGTTTTATTTTTACCTGTAGTTAAAGAGAGATAAGAGTCTCTCTTCTTGTTTTTATTCCCCACATCATGAACATCTGCAGAACACTTTGATAACATCTGGTTTGCTCTGAGTCAGTGTTTCACAAAATAACAGCTCGTCGACTGTATAACTTGATTCCGGTTAATTAAACCCTCCTCATGTGAATCAAACTTATCGAGAGCCACGCAAGAGTCAACTGATAATGTGATAAAAGATAACTAATTAATCAATCTCTATATAAACTATTAATCAGCCCGCAGCAAAAAACCCACAATCAGTCATCGGCAAACTCTGCAGCTGGACGGAGCGTTTCAGCCTCTTTTAGCCTCTTTTAGCCCACAGTTTTGGTTTCATGGCACGTTTAACATTTACAGCAACAAATGACTAGACCGGTAACTGGAGTATTCATTTACAAAAGTGCTTTTCAAGAGGTGTTAACTGGATTTCAGCTTCAGGGTGGACAAAGGCCAGAATAACAAACAAAACATCAACAGAACCAAATATACAACAAATAAAAATAAAAAAACCAACATGGCCGCAGTCGTAACTTTCATCTGATAAATAAACTGCGTTTCCTGCTCAGCAGCAAAGACTGTGAATCAGGAAGATTCAAAAGCTAAAACAGAAGATAATTTATCGGGAGTTGGTGGAGACCAAACCGGAGCTGGAAGAAGAATCAGTTGAATTAAATATAATGTTCCTCTGGCTCTGCTGGATGTGTTGAAATGAGCTAATCTGTGAGCCACAGTTATTTGATTTGGCCAATAAATATCAATTTATTAAATTTTTATTACTGGCTCCTTAAGAAGTATTTTACCTCTGGTTCACTATCAGCACTCAGTCAGTGCAGCTCTTTTTATTTGAGTCCTATAAAGATAAAAAAAAGGGACTGATTCTGTTTGAATGGACAGGAGCAGATGAAGGTGATAATGAACTGTTCTGTGGACCCGATCCACAGGGATCTGGAGCAAACTAGATGATGTCAAAGTGTTTAAGAACCCGTGTCCCATTACGCAGAATCCATCCTCTAAACCAACTATTTACAGGAGCGTTTGTCTGAGCTTTAGAAAAGAGAAAATCAATCACGTTTCACAGCTGAAACACGACTTAAATGTTCTCTCTGGGGAAATTACCCACAAGTGTCGCCCAAAATGTTGCTCCCTTCAAGTGAAGTCTGAACTAAATTTAAAAAGTTTGTGAAAGTATTTTATGATTTTATGTTTGTTTGGTTTTTTCCTCATTCAAGCACATTGTATCTTTCCATTGCACATGTAAAGTATGTTTTTATTACGTCAAGCTGTAACTTCGAGTCAACGGTTTACATTTGCTTTATCCCAGATTCTTCCCCCGTGGTAAAGTATTAAAAACATTCTTACTGTGCGTCTACATGAACGTCTGCTGGATATATAACAGTGTGATAAAATACAATTTAAATATAGAAACATTTTACACATACCTTTCCACGGTGAATGGGATGAGACAATTGTAAACAAGTTGCACTTCATTGTGATATCAAAATACATTTTTTAAATTTTTTTTTTTTAATGGTGAACCCCCCCCCCCCCCCCCCCAGCTAAAATTTGTCAAACAATGTAAAGAAATCTTATTTTATGAGAGTAAAATGTTTTTAACGTCAACGGCCGGTGTCGGCCCGTCACACGATGTTGTGTACATGTGTGTGAGTTTTGATGTGTAGGGAAGTGTACATTTTGTATCTCACAACAAAAAAAAAAAGAAAATATATCCAATATTTTTTTCTACTGACATTG